ACTCTGCAGCGCGCGAGGGAGCTGAGCAGAGTGCTCAGAGGAAGAGCTCCCTCTCCAGCAGCCCGCACGCCAGCGCCGCCCACCCAGCAGCCACTGGACCCTGCCTAGGGCAGCACAAAACCAGGATACACCACTGGTTATAATTCACCTTATTTAAAGTGCTCCGTCCCCCCTCAGAATTGACAATCTTAGCCAATCCAGTGTTTTACCCATAGGAAAGAATTGGGAGGCTAATGGGCACCTTCTGCAAAACGCCATGCTAGCCTCATAGAGATGCATTGACTCAACATTCAGCATCTCCATTCACACTGTACAGCACTGCCTCAGGAAGCACCTCTAGTAGCCGTCTGAGGAGTGGCCACTGGAGGTATCCCTAGGCTGTAATGTTACCGTGGCAGCACTCCACGCGCTCTCGCGAGACTTACAGTGGGAGCTGACAGGGGAGCTGACCGGCACGGAGGAGAAGAGAGCTGACAGGAGCTGCAGGAAAGGTAAGTTACAGCTCGCTGCCAGCCCCCCTCCTGCATAGTACACACCACTGGACCACCAGGGAATGAAAGCCCCCCTCCCTGGCCATGTATCAAGCAGGGAGGGGGGACGAAAATAAATAAAGATTTAAATAATATTAAAATAAAATAAAAAATATTAATAATATAAAAAATATATATATTAAAATAATAATATTAATTTTAAAAAAATAATAAAAATGCCCACCCCCTACCAAGGCTCTGCACTCATACACACACACTGCATTCATACACACACACACACTGCACTCATACACACACTGCATTCATACACACACTGCATTAATACACACACACACACTGCACTCATACACATACACACTGCATTCATACACACACTGCACTCATACACACACACTGCATTCATACACACACACACACTGCATTATATACACACACACTGCATTCATTATATACACACACTGTAAATAAATATTCAATTAATATAATTTTTGGGGGATCTAATTTTATTTAGAAATTTACCAGTAGCTGCTGCATTTCCCACCCTAGTCTTATACTCGAGTCAATAAGTTTTCACAGTTTTTTGGGGTAAAATTAGGGGTCTCGACTTATATTCGGGTCGACTTATAAGTTGCTGTCAGGTAATAAATGCTAGACATGGTGGGTCCTCCAACTTGGCCAGAAAGCTTTGGAAATGCTCGTCGAGCCATTGTAGGAAGGTGTCGATAGAGCCACATGAGTCTCTGTGGGCTGGATCTGGGTCATGAGAATCAGCGAGGGAGGCATCTGCCATCTTGTAAAGTTGGGGCTCGAACCTTTAACAAATCTTAAAGCTCGGTAGGTGCCGCTGGGATTGCGTGTCAGTATCCAGTGGGGACCGAGATATCCCCCACCAGTCCAGGGGGGGGGGAGTTGGAGTGTAGCTGGTCCCTTCTATGAACCGGAGAGCGGCCTCTCTCCCTCTCCGTCCCCAGCAGGTCGCTACGGAGCGGTCAGGGTTCCCGGCGGTGTAGAGTGTCGGGTAAGGTATCAAGAAGCTTGCCTGGAAACCCCTGACCTAGGCACTGAACTTATTGAGGCTTTGTAGCTTGGTGGGCGGGGTTAGCACCCCAAAATAGGCCCAAATTGCATGAGCTCATGCACTGCACGTCTAGACCGCTCGAATGTTGGCTCCACCCCTCAATAATGTTTTTGTATTTCTTTTTATCCCACAAATTTTAATTTAGATCCAAAATATGAAGTTCTACTGTATCAAGGGACATATACATATATATAGCATAAATTGGGAGATATTTTCTTTTTAATCTTTGACTACCTACAGTTGTAATCAAAATTATTCAGCCCCCATTGCAATGAATAAATCAAACAAAACCAATTGAAATAGCTCAACACAACAAATGATTTAATTGGATTCCCCAAATTCAACTGAAAATGCAACTTATAATGACTTCTCCAGTCTCAGTAGCTTGGCTACGCTACACAGGGGAGGTATGTTGGCACATGGGGGAAGAGGGAGTAAGACATAAGAAGGGGAAGCAAATTAGAAATATGGGTGGGGGAATGAGAGGAATGAGACATGGGGGACTGTGAGAATGAGACACATGGGGGACTGGGGAATCAGACACATGGGGGCACAAAAGGAATGAGTCACATGGAGGTTCATGGTGAGGAGGGAATGAAACACATAAATGTAGGTGCTGGGGGGAATGAGACACATGGGGGGGGGCTAAGGGAAAGAGTCCTGTGGTGGGGAGGAAATCAAACACGTGAATGGAGGTGCTGGGCGGAATGAGACACATGGAGGGGTTAGGGGAATGAGACATATGGGGGACTGGGTGAATGAGACACAATGGGGGATTAAGGCAATAAGATACATTAGGGATAAGGGAATGAGACACATGGTGGGGAAGGAATAAAATATGAATGGAGGGACTTGGGGAGATATGACACATGAAGGGGCTGTGGGAATGAGACACATGGGGGAGTGGGAGAATAAGACATGGGGGAATGAGATACATAAATGGAGAGGCTGGGGGAATGAAACACATAGAGGGGCTCTGGGAATGAGACAAATGGGGTAGGCTGGGGGAAGAAGACACATGGGTCTGGGGGAATAGGACACATTGGGCGACTGGGGGTATGAGATACAAGGGGAGGAGGAAATAAAACACATAAATTGAGAGGCTGGAGGGGAATGAAACACATGGGGGGCTGGGGAATGAGACCAGGGCTGGACTGGGAATGAAAAGCAGTCCAGGAAAAAAATTCTGTACCAGCCCCATAATGCGTCGCGCCAGCATAGTGTGCAGATATGAAAGCGGGGAAAAAATGTGAAAGAAAGCACTCATAGGGCTTCAAAATAAACAAAGAGTGAATTTGTTGTAAGCAGACGTGCATTTGCATATAATCAGTATTTCAGTCCAACTAATTTGACATATTAAGGAAAGTTTTGTAATTGGACTGAAATTGTGAATGTATGTTATTGCACAGCAGTAAAAAAAAAAATACTTGATTATTTTGAAGTGTGCTCTTCACTTTTGCTGACAACTGGATGATCTCAGTCAAAGCCAATTTAATTCCCATAGGAAAGCATTGGGAGGCTATTGAACATGTGTGGCAAAACGCATCAATGCATCTCTATGGGGAACGTTAGGTGCCTCTACGCAGAGCATGGATATGCTCAACATAGGTGCTGCACTGGACTAGGAAGCAGCTCTAGTGGCCATCTGAGTGACTGTCACTAGAGATGTTCCTAGGCAGCAATGTAAACACTGCCTTTTCTCTGGTTGTTGGTTTAAAAAAATCAAACTTGTTTGTGCTAATAGTACATTTGCAGCCTGCGGTGCACTTCATATCTGAGAGTCAAATAGAACCGTCAAATACTCTGCTTACAGCGCAGTTTTAAAAATTCTAATTGTTTTTGCTGCTAAATAGTAAATTTGCGGCCTGCGGTGCACTTCATATCTGAGAGTCAAATAGAACCGTCAAATACTGTGCTTACAGCGCAGTTTCAAACATTCAAATTTTTTCGCTGCTAATTAGTACATTTGTGGCCTGCACTTCATATCTGAGAATCAAATAGAACCGTCAAATACTGTGCTTACAGCGCAATTTCAAACATTCAAATTTTTTTGCTGCTAAATAGTACATTTGTGGCCTGCACTTCATATCTGAGAATCAAATAGAACCGTCAAATACTGTGCTTACAGCGTAGTTTCAAACATTCAAATTTTTTTACTGCTAAATAGTACATTTGTGGCTGCACTTCATATCTGAGAATCAAATAGAACCGTCAAATTCTGTGCTTACAGTGCAGTTTTAAAAATTCTAATATTTTTTTGCTGCTTAATAGTACATTTGTGGTGTGCACTTCATATCTGGTGTATGTGTGCAACACTGGCTAGTTACCGCTTCTCAAGAAAGTCTAAAGACTTTTTAAAAAAGTGAAAAATAAGTGTTATTGCGATTGCTTCATATACAGAAACATTAATATACATTTCTATATTGTGTAAAGACACAACTACAAAGTTAAAAACCAAACACCAAAACAACGTTCCAGACAATCTACCTGTGCATGGCTAGTGTGATACAATAAGTCTACATCTTAAAAATGCAATAACCCACAGAAGATGGGCAAGAATTGTTTTTTGCAAATGGAACTTTGATTCGAATTTACTACATCGGTCACTTGTAATATTGTTTCACACCTACAACGCTTGTTAAACAGATCTAGGTGATAGAAAACAGATTGATATTTTCTACACTAGAAACTACCAGATAACAAGCTGCTATATTTAAACCAGTTATCAATAGCTAAGAGGTACTTAGACAATATTGTAATTCTGGGGCAATACCCTCACAAGTCAAACTGAGAGGTCAGTTTATAGGGAAAACTGTTGCCTGGATACAATTCTAAAACTATTTCCATATGTCCTTTGCAGACTTTACATGCTGGAAAAACACAGGTGCCAACTGCTGTGGCTTTCTGCAGTGTGCAGACCGGCAAGGAGGGCAGGGTTGAGGAGTGGGTGGAAGATGATGTGGAGGATGATGAGGTCCTAGACCCCACATGGAATCAAGGTCATACGAGTGACATGTGCAGTTAAAGGAAAAGGCGGTGGTTGCACAGAGGCACCAGCACAGCATAAGAGGGAGCAGAGTGCAAAAGCGAAGTGGCCGTCCCCTAGTGCTCGTCGGCATGTATTAGCTCTAGAATTAACACAGTTATCCAAGTAACAGATGGAGCGATCAAAGGAACTATAACTGATTTAATGAGCCATTCGCAGTTTCACTGTAGCGGCTGTGCGCGCTTTCGGCGTTCTCACCCTGCTGCTGCTCGCCTGTCTGCGCTGCAGCGTTACTTCGGCCTTCCCACTCATCACCTCATATGCGACGTGCCCACAAGGTGGAACTCCACCTTGCACAAGCTGGACAGACTGTGTGAGCAGCAGCAGGCGATAGCGGAGTTTCAGCTGCAGCACGCACGGGTCAGTCGTGTTATTGTTATTTATCGTCACTACCTCCCCGCGTAGGGAGTTGGTAATTTGCGCGCCTGCTGCCTACCCTGGATGTGGTAGCTGTTTCTCGGGCTCCCTCTCCTGAACCAAACCCTGATTACCCACTACCCGTGGTCACCATGGTAGGCGCAGATAGTAACATCAAAGTCTCCGCCACGGTCACGCCTCCTCAACCTCCTACTCCACATCCACCTCCTCCTCCTAGAGCAGGGTGCAAAAGCGGAGCAGCCGTCCCCTAGACAGTACGCTTGCTACTGCCCACCGCACCCAGGGACAGAGCACACCAAAGCCAGCTCCAAGGAGTTCCCTTGTGTTTCAGTTCGACCTAGGAGAACCCAGTCGATTCCTGTGGCACCTCCCGATAGGCAAACAGGAGATGGGGCAGGAATCTCTCTCAATCCTTGTGAGTCGCCGCAAAGGTATGGAGCATTTGCTTCAATGTACCGTTGAAGCGCTCACACAGGCCATTGGTCTGGGGGTGGTAAGGGGAGCTCAGGATTGGTTTAATGTGCACAATCTCCACAGTTGGTGGGTCATTTTGGCCGCAAACTGTGTGCCCTGGTCTGAGAGAATCTCCCGGGGAAAACCCATCCAGGAGAACACTGCTCAGGGTACTGAGTCGCGTAGTCCACGATGGTCAGAATGTACTTCTTCCCAGAGGGACTAGGCTTGGCTAGGGGAACTATAATTTCGACAGCTACTCTGCCAAACGGATCTTCACTAATAGGTAGGGGATGGAGGGGGGCCCTGTGCCGGTCCCTTCTCTTCCCCACTCTCTGGCAGACATCTGGCAGTACTGCCTCAGATCCTGAGAAATGCCTGGACAGAAGAAACTTTGGGTGAGCCGAGATGCTCTCCGGCTCCTGCCCAAATGCCCTGCTAAGGGGATATCGTGAGCTAGCTTCAGCAGCTCATACCAATACTTTTTCGGTCTGGGGCTGGTGGTCTCTCACCAGCCGTTTCGTTGGGACCCCATTGAAAAAGTGCTCTAGCATGACGAGCTGGGTGATCTCCTCCGGGAACTTGGCTTGATGGTAGTTGAGCCAGTTCTGGGTGGCCCTTGTGATGCGGCATGCCCACTTTGCATGGGAGTCCTTCTCCCCTTTCCGGGTCTCCCTAAACTTTCGGCGGTATTGCTCAGGGGTGACCGCATACCGGGCCAGGAGGATTCGTGTAATAAAGGTATAGTCTCTGATCTGCTCTTCTGGTACAGCCCGGTAAATATCAGCTGCCTTCCCCACTAGTTTGCTGGCCAGGAAGGTGACCCAGTCGCTGGGGTCCACGTCTTGGAGTAGGCACTGGCGCTCAAAGTCTTGTAAAAAGTAATCAATGCCTTCTTCTGCTTCCTTGAACTCTTTGAAGACATTGAATGGTAGCTTGTGGGCCAGGGTGGTTGTGCTTCCCAGCGCCCTCTGCTCCCTTCTTCCTTCATCTGGGTTCATGGAGGTCGCCCTCTGTCTATTGGCAAGGACATAGGCTCACACCTCCAAAAAGGTCCTGCTGACGATATCCTCTGAGGGTGGCTCTCGGTAATATGCCAGCTGCCGGTCCACTTCCTTGCGCACTTCCTCCTCATCTCCGGCCCCTGGCTGGAGTTTGTTGCCTCACTGCGTGCCTGGTCGTCTTCCATGAGCGCAGCAGTCAATTTGGCCTTGTTACGCCCACCAGGCATTATTCCTGTGGCTCCACACAAGTCCTGCAGTGTAGGTCGCTTTAGAGCACTGTAGTCCATGGGTCCTGCCGCTTGCCACCAATTGAAGCGGGACCTGGGTAACCGATGGTTATCCCCTTTGATTAGAATAGGTCAGACCCATTTCCCCAGTAGCCGGATGGGACACATTTCCAGGATACAACGTTTGACAATCTTTATTTGGGTACACAGCTTTGGAGTTTCAGTTGCAGCAAGCACGGGTCAGTCGCTCTGCGGAACAGCACCACTTCACCACCAATGAGTGGGCCTCTATGCGAGACCTGTGTGCCATGTTGCGCTGTTTCGAGTACTCCACCAACATGGCCATTGCCAATGACGCCGTTCTCAGCCTTACTTGTATGTACGTAGTGGGGAATTGCGATGCAGCCTATAACAAAACTAACCCCATTCAACCCCCCAATAATGACAGACCACTTAATATGGATGAACAGGCCACAGCATTTATTATCACAAACTAAATTACTGCATAACACATCCATAACTTTATTTATTAAATCTCTTCTTTTCTGTAACCAAAACGTTAGACATAAATAAGCATAAATTAACATATATACATATATAACTCCACACATAGTGTTATACAGTGACCCAACCGTCCTTGCCAATAAACATACCGTGGTTCCTAATCACCACTTCCTCTCACCTCCCACCTCGTCATAAAATCAAATCTTTCCAATGCCCGCCATCAGCCGACCTTATCCACGCTCGATGGGCACGACACCTCAGGCAACCTAATGTTAACCTTTTGAAGCAGGGGAGGTTGAGACCTTAAAAACTTGTTCATCTCATTCCATATACTTAAACGTAACCCCTCAAACTCAATTGGCAAGGACATACCCCCGCCTAGCTGTGACTAAATATACCAATAGGGCGGGCAGGAGGGAAGCTGTTTGCTGGCCCGAATCCCAAGTGGCACTGAGGTAAGACCTCCCCCACACTAACTTACACAGAACATAATCCCACCCACACACTCTTTCCCATCCAATCCCATGCATCTATCCCACACTCCTACATGTGCCCTTGTCCGCTTAGCTGCGCTATCTCCCCAGGGCCTTGTATGTACGTAGTGGGGAATTGCGATGCAGCCTATAACAAAACTAACCCCATTCAACCCCCCAATAATGACAGACCACTTAGTATGGATGAACAGGCCACAGCATTTATTATCACAAACTAAATTACTGCATAACACATCCATAACTTTATTTATTAAATCTCTTCTTTTTCTGTAACCAAAACGTTAGACATAAATAAGCATAAATTAACATATATACATATATAACTCCACACATAGTGTTATACAGTGACCCAACCGTCCTTGCCAATAAACATACAGTGGTTCCTAATCACCACTTCCTCTCACCTCCCCCCTCGTCATAAAATCATATCTTTCCAATGCCCGCCATCAGCCGACCTTATCCACGCTCGATGGGCACGACACCTCAGGCAACCTAATGTTAACCTTTTGAAGCAGGGGAGGTTGAGACCTTAAAAACTTGTTCATCTCATTCCATATACTTAAACGTAACCCCTCAAACTCAATTGGCAAGGACATACCCCCGCCACAACCACGCTGTTTTACACCTAAAATCAGCGGGGGACCCCACCACAACCAGCCATGGCCTGTTCCACCACTGCTAGCAGTGCCAGATTAACATAGCATAAATACTGCACCAGGAAATTAAATGACCATTCGTGATCAATCTAAAAAACACCAATAACACAACATAGCGCAAAATATAATATATGTATATATATATATATATATAATATGTTAGACTCCTTATGTAGAGTAAAACTCACAGGATTTAAAGCCATCCCAGGCTCTATATAATGTGCAGGAGGGTGCCTAAAAAGGCTAAACGATATCCTTGAGGAGAGCAGCACAGGATACAAAGTGCAGAATCCAAAATTTATTGCACAAATAAACAATTAAAACAGGGACAATATGCAGTGTATAAATAGTAAAATATACTAGGCACAAAGCCTAAATAAAACACTGCAGAGGAAACAAGAAAAAGTACCAGATACAATCCTTTGATCTAGCAGCAATTGCGTTTCATCTCCAGCCGGAGTCGTCCTCAGTGCACCATCAACATAGGCCTCATCCGACCTCCAGCAAGCGCACCCATCCCCTCGAGATAACTAGGCCACATCCGGCCACACCCCAAGGTGAACTGGAATCCCCCAAGCCAAAACAAGAAACCCACCTCGTCCGATTCCCGACGGCAGCGCACCAGGGCACTCACATTGCTGAGCGCACTGCCAACAGGAACAGGTGATAGCCTCAGCCCGGCCCCTGAGAACCTCTGGTAAGAAACAGAATGTGTAACATGTCCAGATTCAAGAGCACCCTCAGATTGAAGAGCACCCCATACAACACCGAACCCATATCATTCCACCCAGAGATGACAAAAACCCCCTGGTACGTCCAAGAGGCGGGACAGCCGACCCCGTACGAGGAGGACCACACCCCCACCATGTAACTGGTGCCAGACCACTGAACCCCCCTTTCCGGGGGAGGAGTGGGGGCCGTAACCGCGGTGAGAAATCCATTCGGAGACCAGCAGGGTGAACCTGAAGGAACCACCACCCTGACTCCCAAAATTCGAGCCCCTGAACCATTGGCACAGGCACCCCAAGCCTGGCGGCGACCGTAGCCATCCCAAACCAGAATTATATTATATTTAATTCTACCCCTTGTACTCTGGACGTTGGATTCCTTTTTAAAAAAATTTTTATTTTAGGAAGAAAGAACGTATGCACGCGAAGCGCTAAAAGTAGGGAAATGTACTCACCGGACGCAGCCTGGCGATCCAAGCCCAGCACTGCGCTCACAGAAGGCTGAGGCAAAGAAACAGCAGTTCCAGCATCCACAGAAGACATCAGCTGTGATCCAGGCGCCACCTGCTGGACGGATCTATGAACTGCAGCAGCATGCTGAGAAGGAAGCAGCAGAGAAGATGAGCCCACGCCCCAGAGGAGATGGACGAGGTAAGTGACCTGGGGGGGGGAGAGGCAAGCAAGCCAGAGGGGCAAGGTAGAGAGGGGGGGGGAGCCCAGAGGGGATGCAGATAAGGAGGGATAGAGAGAGGGGGGGGGATTAGAACAGAAGAGGGGGTGAGGGGGTTCAGGCCCACCAGAGAGTGGGGGGGGACCAGGCAAGGGAAAGCTGGGCCCCCTGGAAGAAAATAAAAGCCAGCCAAATAGGGAGGGAGGGGAGACAGAAAGAGCGGAGGGGGGACCAGGGGGCCCAGTCCAGGGTAAGCTGGGCAGAAGAAATAGAGGCAGCAGGTGAAGGAGGGGGGACAGGGGAGACAGAGCCCTGGGAGCCTTCCTCACTGGCAGAGGAGGCTCCCGACGGGCAAGGGGACCCCCCCCCAGCGGCCCGCGAGGGCCCACTCACCTCCCTGGGAGCTGCACAGTTGCCGGACGGCCACCCGCCGCCCGGATCGTGGGATCTGCCGCCCACCGCCCCCGGCCCGCAATCCAGCACTGGCGGCCGGGGCAGATGGTGTGAAGGGGGGGGGAGAGGAGTAGGCTGCGC